CGCCCGGAGCCCTTCGCTCTGAGCCCCACGGGGTAGCGGGGAGACACCGAGAGCGGTCCCTGGGCTGCTCCCGCCGGGGCTGCGGCCGCGTTTGGTGGCTTGCCGAGCGTGTTTCTGCCCCGCCGGTACCCACGGGTGGGAAAACTGGGGAGTGGGAAAGGCTGTGCCCCGTCCAGGGTGGGCAGCCGGGCGGGCGGGGAAGTGCCCGCAGCCCCTGGGGAGAGCCTTTGGGCGTTCGGCTGCGGCGGGCGACAGTCCTGGAACCCCCGCCGTGAAAGTCTTCCTAGGGGCACGCATGTTTTGCATCTTCTAGCGTGACCGTTTTTTCGGGGGATGTGGTGGCCGGGGGGTTTTTTACATCCATGTTGAGAAAGACAAAAGATTTCCCCCTTACAGAGAGAAAGGAAAAAACCAAAACCAAACCCACAAAAACTAACAGATGCTACTCCCCCCCCTCCCAAAGTCTCTCTTGCATCCAGCTTGCAGAAACGTGAATGAAACACCACCGTGACCAAACTGAATGCACTTTTGTGCATGATCGGCCGGGGGAGGGAGGGAGACTTGACCGGCTTCCCGATAACTTTTTCAGTGCTTGCGAGTAGAACAGATGTTGCCCATGAGTGGAGGACTTGAATGAGGCTCCTTCTCATAATAAGAAAATAGTCTGTGTTCAAGATGTCACCAGGATGAGACGGTTTCTTTTAGTATTTATTATGTGCTTATGGATCTGCGGGGGCTACATGGTTTCTCTGATGTGGCAAAGCAAATGTATGAAGATGGAGTTAATGGTGTTACTGGAGGTGGTGAAATTATGCTAATAAGAAAAATAAGAGCTGATGTTTGTTAACAGAATACCTATAAATTATACCAGCTGTTTATAAAGCTTCTTCTGAAACGTTTCCTTGATCTTAAGGTCTAAAGCATGCTTGGAAATTTAAGCTTGTCTTTCATTGTAAGAAGATGCATTGAAATAGCTACTTCAGCTGGTTTTTAGGGCAAGCTGAAGAGTATCACCAAGCAGCACGGTTTTGCTTTGTGTAGAGTAGCGACCTTGCAACATGAATAGGTTCAGGAACGTGGCTTATTACAAGATTGCTGTTTGTTCTTGTGTGTGTGTGTTTTGCTTTATTTTTCTGTCATTATATTAAAGTGATGCCACTACTCAGGCTCTTACGTTTTTGGTTAATTGAAGTCCAGAAGCAGTTTAAAAACAGCATGCACAGAGGGTTTTGCACCAGTTAAACAAATTCATATCTGTGCGCCACTGAGTCCAGTTCAGTGGGACCGACTGTAGAATAAAGCATCCTTCAGTGTGAGAAGCGTGTGTGTGGGAGAGAGAAGGATGAGGGCACTCAGCTTCCTCATAAGCAGCTGGGGGGCAGACTGTGCATCCTCCAGAACTGCTGCTTTTTGGAGAAGAGAGCTGTCTTATCTTGGGGTGATAAGAGAAGAAAGGATGGTGGGCTGGTATTCAGTAGATGTTGGGGGGTGTAATGTCTCATATACCTTCTTATCTAATCCTCTCTGCTGCCGCTTTGTATGCTGCTGTTGTGTTGCTGCAGGGTGGTAGGGAGTTTGAAGAAATAGTCAATTGTATGAAAGAGCAAGGCTGATGAATGTTTTCTTATTAGCTTCCAACATAATCAAATTTTGTAAGGGCTCTGAGTGGTGTGTGTCTTGTCAGAGAGAACATGGGGGTAGAATTAAAGAAAGGGAGGAAAGAAAAGAAAAGGGGTGAAACAAAAAGCAAGTCAGTTTGACTTAAAACTATGATAACATTCCTGAGTCACAACCTTTTACGTCCTGGCAGGATATGACATTATGTTAATTGTAAAAGCATGCATAAAAAACTTAAGTGAACTGCTCTGAAGTGTCTGTGTTTAATTGTAGCCGAGCAGGGCGTGTTTTGGTGGGATGGGCGGCTTTCGTTTTAAGGCCCTGGTCCCACAGATGTGAAGGCACATGTGTAATGCTCTGCCTGTAATTTCATTTGACTTAGTAGAGACTGATCTCTCTATGTAAATATAAAGGCATGCATAAGCAAAGTTTTGGCAGGATTGGTGCTGGGAGCTGCCACGGGACCTCTCAGCTGATGAAAGCCATGCACACGCTTAAATATACATCAGGGTGGAAGGACGCAAATGGTCATCTGGGCTCAGTGTGAGATAAGCCACTTGTCTGGAAACTGTTGAGATGTGCTAGATAGGGGACCCCCTTCCTTCTCCTGGGTTAATTCCTACCATCTTAACCAGTGCTGGATGGTTCCTCAGGAGTTCAGAGCATGCAGGAGGGCTCTGGCCTCCCTACCTTCCCTTTATTTGTTTATCCTAAATGTTTATAGAATCACTGCTTGGTGTAGTTAAAGGAGCGAAACTAACATTTACTCATGTATACACTAATGTATACTCCTCTCCAAGTCAAACAAAAGGTGATGGGAAATGAAACTGCAATACAAATTTTACATGGGAACCATGGAAAAGATTATCCGAGATATTAATACAGCACAATGTATTCTTTCATCTGTTTTAAAAATACTTGATAATGAGGTACTGCCAGTTTCCATGGAGGGGATGGAATGAAAGAGAGACACAAGAAGGTAGAGTGGGGCTAATGGAGCTGAAGGCTTTATGGGCTTTTTCTTTCTCTGAGCGGCAGGTCTGGGGTCAGCAGGAGCGGTGGGGCAGTGTCCTTGGAAAGCCACATCCATGTGGGTTAGTGAGTGGAGTAGGGCCACCATGACCACTGATTTTGGACAATGAGATGAGCACTGAGAAAGGTCATATGCCCTTGTCTCAGCCTTGTGGGTGTTTCTGTGTTCTTGCTACTGAGTGTCTGGTTGTGTTTGTGACAAAGGTGCAACTGGGTGGGAGCAGAGCTATTGCAGGTGGAGAGCTAAGACTGAGAGGCTGGGGGACGAGGTGGCTCA